ACCCCGAGGCCCTGGCCGCCGCGTCGCCTGCCAGGGGCAGCCCGCAGGGGGAGCGAGAACTGGGGCCGCGGCGGGCCGCCCCTACCGTCCCCTGGGCGGGGGCCGCGGGGGCTCCGGGGGGCCTATGCCTTCACTGCCGTCACCACCCACATCGGGTTGCTCTGGCCTGGGGTCCTGTGATGGGCAGATCCTCCACCACCACTGCCACAGGCAGGCAAGGGAGGAGGAGGAGGGCGAGGAGGAGGACGAGGAGGAGGAGGACCTCCCCATCCTCCCTTCTCCCCCGTCCTACCTACAATGGTGGTGATGGTGGAAAGTTGGCCCATCATCCTGGTGATGTCCACCGAGGAGATGTCTCGCCAGCCGCCCAGCGGGTTAAAGTGGAAATAATTGCCGACTATCCTGCAATGGCCTGGGCCGTCGTTCATGTCCGCGACCCACACCTTGATGGCTTTCGTAAAAAAGCAACGGTTGCTGAACGACATGATGGCGACGCCTCCTGGCTTGAGCACGCGGTGCATCTCCGCGAAGATCTCCTGCGGTTTAGTGAGGTAGTCGACGCTCACGACGTTGGTGACGAAATCAAACTCGCCGTCGCCATAAGGCAACCTTGGCTCGATGTTGAGGTTGCGCGGGACGTGCTCCGTTGCCTGCTTATTGGCAGCAAGCTCGTACTCGTTCATGCCGGTGATCGCAACCCGCTTCGCTCGTAGAAAAATGAAACGCACATAAACATGCTCGTTCGGAGATCCGCGTGAGTTTCTTGGATCGGCACTGGGACCTACTCCATTCCTGGCGCGCAGAGCGCGCCATGGGCGACGGGGGAGGCGCCGCCAGGGGGGCCCAGCGCAGATCCAAGAAACCCATGCGGACCTCAGAAAGTGTGGGCTCATGCATTTTTCCTTTTTCGAGCTCGAAGGCCCTCGGGGTAGTGACTGATCCAGGAGCTGCAGATGTCCAGGACGCTGTACTCCCCCTGCGGCGCCTGCGCAAACTGCAGCGCGTAGAAGTCCCTGATCCGCCAGCGCGCCCCCCCTGGCACAATGAGGCGTGGTGGAGTGCCAAATTGTGCCTGCTAGGTTTTTTGTTTGCAATCTTCTACAAGACCCTTCCCCCCTCTACCAACGTCCATCTGCATGTGGCGGATTCCGGAAAAACGTGTTCTTCTCTCGGGGGTGCATCTTTTCCTACTTCCGCCGTCTTCCGCCGCCCTTCCGCTCGCTTCCGCCGGCGGAGGCGGCCTCGTGTCACTTCCGCCGCCCTTCCGCCGAGGAAGAGATGACGACCCCTTCAGTCCTCGAAGGCGAGGCCCTTTCCGGAACGCTCCATGTGTCCCCTCCTCCTCCTCCCTCTCCCCTCCCCTTCCTACTTTTTCTTCTCCTCCTTCTTCTCCTCCTCCTCCTCCTGCTTCTCCTCCTCCTCCTCCTCCCCCTCCTCCTCCTCCCCCTCCTCCTCCCCCTCCTCCTCCTCCTCCGAGACCCCCTGGGCGTCCCGACGGCCCCCCGGGCGCTCTCCAGGGCGTCCAAGATGCCCATGACAGGTCCCAAGGCGGCTCAGGCGGGCCACCTCAAGGCGTCCAAGATGGCCCAAGATGGCTCCGCTGCAGCCCAGGATGGCCCCAAGAAGGCCTAAGATGGCCCTAAGCCTAACCAAGAGGCTCTCGAGATGGTCCAGGGGGGCTCTACTAGAACCTCCGGCAGGGCCCGCAGAAGCCCATGTCGTTGACTCTCCTGAGGTGTGTGATGGAGGTTTTAGATGTCTCACCTTGTCGGGCTTCCGTCAGCTCAAGACGGTCCAAGAAGCCCGCAAGATGGCCACACAACGGCCCACGAGGGCCTCCGGGGGGCCCCAAGAAAGCCCAAGACAGGGTGCCAAGATTGCCCACGATCAGTCCAAGAGGACCCCCAGTGAGCCCTCAGACGGCCCTCAAGGTCCCCAAGGGGGGCACAAGAGCCCGCCGCCCGCCAAGACGGACTCCAGAAGCGCCCCGACGGCCAAAGTGCACCCTGAGACGACCCGAGGAGGCCCCCCAGGAGCCACCGAGGCGCGCCAAAGCAGGCTCAAAGATGCTCTTGGGGGCCTCGGGGAAGCACCCAAGACAAGAAGCCACCAGGTCCTTTGAGAAGCCCCAGGTGTCACACGTGATGGCGTCCCGTGCCCCCCCTAAGAGTCGCCACCCAGAATGCTGCGCTGGCACGGTGGCGGAATGGCTGGATGCAACTGAATAGAGCCGATGGCGTCGTCGTCGATGTGCGTCACTAGGCGTGGGACACTGTAGAAATTGCTGTCGTCGCTCTCGTCCCTGCGCCGGAAATCACCAGGCTCGTAGGGCCACTTGCTCGGCCACAACGGATTGTTAGGATACAACTCCTGGGAGGTTGAATTCAGCATCGGCCCTGATCTATCCGCGGTCGAAAGCAAGCATATTCTGGCACTGCCCTGGTTAATCTGGCTTACCCCCGCCTGGTCTGGCGTAATACTGGGCCAAATCCAGCTTACAGGCAACCCGTATCACCAGGACGCACGACAAGGGTGCAAGGGCCTCAGAAGGCCATTTCGAAGCTCTTCGAGCGGGGCGCGGCCAACGAAAGCGGCGAAGGATGGGCCGAGGCTGAGAGGATACAAGGGTACCCTGGGAAGGGCTGCCCATCCTTACCATGCGGGTCGACTGTGCTGCCCCCCTCTCGGGAGCGGCCAAGAGGGGGGTGTCCAAGAGGGGGGGGAGCAAATCATGACCGGCGGCATGTGCGCGGCCCAGCGGGGGGCCAGGGAAGTAATGAAATAAGAAGAGGTGCCATGAAATCTGGGGAAATATCATGGCCCCCGCCATGATATACCCCCTCCCCTAGTCATCACCCCCCTCTTTGCCGCCCCCGACCCTCAGTCGGGCTTGCAATGGCCCCCTCATCGTTTTCACGAAGAAGAGACCTCCCAGGAGTGGCTTCCCAGGGCTTGTCCAGGGCGTGGCTCACGGCGCTGCTGCCGATGGCAAAGGGGACCTGCAGCCTCTTGCCCTGCCAGCCCACCACCTCCACACCGCGAGCGACGCCCCCCTCCGTAGGAACAAGGACTGGGCGACACCAACACCAACAGGGCGAGGAGCTGCGCGGAGGCAAGGGTTACCAGCCTGGAACATATCCCTATCCCTATGCTGGGCATCGCCTCATCACGACGCCAATCTCAGGGATTCCCTTGTTTTTTGAGGGCGCATCCCTGAGCTTGTCATCGCATTTTGGCGTGTCAATCTCAGGGATAGGGATATGTTCGAGGCTGGTAAAAGTCGGGCCTCCCTGGTGGGGTGGCCTCGCCCCTCTCGCTCGAGACGTCCCCGGCCTCCCGCTCGGGGAGGCACTGCAGGGCCTCCTCGCTGGAGGTGGGCCCCCCGGTGGTGTTGGCGTCGCTCCTCCTCCCTCCGACCTCCGCGCGTGCGGCGACCCTGCCCGAGAGGGCCACGGCGGCGCCGCCCGCGGCCAGCAGCTCTCTCCGCGGCGCGCCGCTCGCGCCGGGCGCCGCGTCCTGCTGCCGCTCGGGCGCGGCTGCCGGCAGGGCGCCCGCCGGCCGGGAGCGGGCCCGGGGCCGCAACTCGGAGCCCGCAAAGGCCCCGCCGCGACCGCGGCCGAGCCAGGCGCCCGCGCAGGCCAGGAGGACCAGCACCGAGGCCGGGGCGGCTCTCGCAGGGGAACGAACTCAGGGACATGAACAGAACCACTCGGAGGTCCGCGCGGAGTTCTCGGGTCCGCGCTGGACCCCCCCATGGAGGCGCCTCTGGCGCCGCCCCTGGAGCGCTCCGCGCGCCAGGGAGGAGGTTCGGGCCGGGGGAGAGGGGGGGGATAGCAAAGAAGGGGGTTGAGAATCAGCTCACGTAGCTGATTTTGCCGGGGCGGCCAGGAATCGAGAACTGGGCCCCTCGGTGGGGCTGAAACCAGCTGCACGCAGCAGATTTCTTAACCCCCCTTTTCCCTACCCTTCGCTTTCGCTCGGCCCGAGAGGCTCCAGCGCCGATCCGAGAAATCCGCGCGGACCTCCGAACTGTGGTGTTCAGGTCATTGTTCGCTGCCCCCATCTCTGGCGGGGCTCCGGGCGCATGTCTGCTCTGCCTGCGCCGCAGGTCGGCGGCGTGTGCGGCCCGAGGGCTCTCTCTCTTGAGGGCTTCTGAGCCACAGGGCCACGGAGCGGCGGAGGACGCCTGCCAGACAGCAGCGGGCGGTCAGAGCCTCTTACCGGGATGACGATTCCGAACTGTGCTGCTCCGCCTCATGCTGGGCACACGTGGGCGCAGGCTCCAGAAAAAAGCACGGACGGCATCCGCAGTCGCCAACTCCGTTGCCAATCCAAGCTTTGCCAAGCGCGGCGTGGAGGATCAACTGCATCCACATCTGGCACCACTGAAGGGGCCCCTCTTACACACAAATAAATACACACAAATAAAAATATCCCCCCATATTTTCCAATATTTTCTGGGTTTTTGTCTTCCCGCCCACTTCCCATATTTTCCCATATTTTCTGGGAATCGCCGATTAATTGTGTCTGTGTGTTTCTTTCCCTCCTGAACTACGTCGCATCGCAGCACATCGTGCCACGGCAGTCGCCTCATCCGACACAAGAGATCGGAAGCGGGTAGACGACGACGACGACGAACGCGCAGGCGGGAGGCCCGGGCCGGCGGCTTGGGGCGGGCAGGCGGACGAGGGGCCGGGCGGAGACAAGGAGGAGGAGGAGGAGGAGGAGGAGGAGGTCGAGGAGGAGGAGGAGGAGGAGCAGGAGGAGCAGGAGGAGGAGGAGGAGGAGGAGGAGAAAGGGAGGGGGGCAAGGAAGAGGAGGAGAGGGGAAGACGCAGCCGTCGCCGCGCCGTCGCGAAAGCGCGGAGGCCCCGCGGTCGCCCGAGGCATCCTCGGAGAGCGACCCTAGTCCCAGCACCGCGTGCGGTCACCCCGGGATCCCCACTGAGGTCACCGCGCGGGCCCTCCTGCGCACGCCTGCTTTCTGGACCAACACATCGGAAGGGGCCCTGGGACACGCAAATAAATAGACACAAGTAACAGGATCCTCCATATGTTTCGGGTCCTTGCCTCCCCCCCCCACATCCCATCTTCTCCCAGATCTTCGGGGGAATCGACGATTCATTGTATCTGTGTGTTTTTTGTCCCTCCTGAACATCTGGCCGTTCGGGGCGATCTGCGCAGCCGCGAGGCGCCCGCGGCGCGGCGCAGCCGGCGGAACGCCTCTGGAGGCAGGACAACCGGCAGGCACCAGCGGAAACGCCCGAAAACCCCCAGATCCCCACACCGACTCACCACACGGTGCGGTCACCGCACGGATTATTACCGGCCTGGAACATACCCCTATCCCTATGCGGAGCATCTCCTCATCACGATGCCAACCTTATGGAGTCCCTCATTTTTTGAGGGCGGATCTCTAAGATTGCCATCGCCTTTTGGCGTGCCAATCTTAGGGATAGGGATAAGTTCGAGGCTGGTAAGATTAGGAGCCCCCGTTCGACCGCACCGATCCAGGCTGTCGCTCCCGAGAGCCCGCGCGCCCTGGCGGCGGATCGGCGGCGGAGCGAGCATTGTCTCTTGCCAGTCCGCGCCGGCGCTTCGCCGCCTCTCCCGGACGAGCCCCGCCCACGTGCAGGCCACCCCTGGCTCGTATGTGCATATTGCTGTGTGGTGTGAAATGGGTTGTGGTGGTGGTGGGGGTGGTGTAAAGAGGGGTGTTTTTATGGGCTCGGATTTTCAGTCTCCAGATCACCTAGGAAATTCAACCTTCGGATTTTCACATTGCAGTCGGATTTTCACATTGCCGCCAGATCTTGCCACGTCCCGGCGGGGTCTGGGCCAGGGGCCCTGGCCCAGACCCCGCCGGGGCGTGGCAGGATCGCGCTGGAAGGCGTTGGGCCCCGTTTTCAAGGGTCTGCTGGAGCGCTGCGCCAGGCGCCCGGGCCGTCAGAACTGGGGACTCCGAGCAGATGGGATCGGAGTAGGCGCCGCATCGCCGAGGTATCGCTGGCGCATCGGCGAAGCATCGGCGACCTCGATGTGGAGAAAAGCTGGCTCCATATCCAGCCGCACGGCCGATGCATCGGCGATGCGGCGCGATCCGTCGGCCCCATCTACTCGAACCCTACCGGAAAAGACAAAAAGTGACCGACACCGCTACTGCTACTCCACGGACCTCTCCTGGGGTGCGTTCTGACAAGGCTTTCGAGGAGAATCCTGCCGTCGCGCAGAGGGCTCTCCAGGACGAGCCGCGGTATGTCCCGGTACCTCTGCCCCTCTGACCATATGTGAGAGGCCTGGAGAGAGTGGTTCGAGAGGCGACGCAGGCCAACAGGGCAGGGGTCGAGACCTCCTGGGGGTCCGCGGCGCCCGAGCAGGAGCCGCGGCGTCGGGGGCCTAATTAGGCCCGCAGCCTCTCACGATTTGAGCAGGGACCGTGCGTCCCGGCATTCCCATAGTCCTACCACGAAGTGTTCTGAGAACCCAGAAATGTTCTAAGAACAAGAGCAGTGTCCTTAGAACACAACCCCGATGTGTTAAAACAAGACCATGTACAACAGAAATGTTCAAAGAACATGTCCTGGAAACCACAAAATAGGTTCTTAGAACATTGCTTGGTGGGGCTATAGGCGAGCCGGGACGCTTCGCCGCTGCTTGACACCCTCCCCACCCCGCGGCAGGGCTCACGGGCGGCGACCACACGGGCACAGGCGACAGGAAACCTCGCTGGGAAGACACCTCTGGGGGCACGCGCTGCGCCGACTGGAACAAGGCAAGCACTGCTTGTGGGGTGCACCCTCGGCGGTGGACAAACCTCCCTTTAGTACACCTCCGATTCATGAAAACGGCCTGGGGCCGAAACCGACGGACCTGGACCCGCAAAAATGACGGCCGCGACGCCCTCTCGCGAACCGAGAACTTGGGGGGCGGAAAGATACGGATACGTGTTGTCCCCGGACCTCTCTTGGGGTGCGTTCTGACCAGAATTTCGAGGCGAATCCAGCGGTGACAACGAGGATTCCCCAGGAGGACCAGGAAAGGCCGAAAACAAAGGGGGACAACACGCATCTGTATCTTTTTCTCCCCCGAAGAACGGCCCATTCCTCAATCGACGTGTCAGGGTAGGAGGTCTGTCCACCTCCGACACCCCTGGGCAGACCACGCCCCTGCGGTTTTTGGATCCCGGAGGCGCTCCGAGGCGGGGCACCCGCGAGCACGCCCCCGTATCCGTGGGGGTCGCGGCCCGGGGGCCCGGCCCGAGAAGCAGCGCCCCTCGGCAGGCTCCCGCCTCTGCTCGGGTCGGGCGAAAGGGGGGGATTGGGAAAGGGGGGGTTACGAAATTTGCTGCATGCAGCTGGTTTCGGCCTCACCGAAGGGCCCATTCCTCGATACATGGCCGCCTCCGGCGCCGGGAGGCGCCTGGAAAATCAGCTACGTGAGCTGATTCTGAACCCCCCCCTTTGCTATCCCCCCCTTTCGCCCGACCCGATCTGTCTCCCGA